CACCTGGCTGGCTCAGTTGGTAGAGCACACTACTCTTGATCTCAGGGTTGTGAGTTTGAGCCCCACCTTGGGTGTGGAGATTGCTGAAAAATAAAATCTTAAAAAAAAAAAAAAAGATGTAACTCAATAAAGCTTTTCAGAAAACAAAAGATTTGAATCTCCAGATGAAAAGGATATAGTGTGGGGCGCCTGCGTGGCTCAGATGGTTAAGCGTCTGCCTTCGGCTCAGGTCATGATCCCAGGGTCCTTGGGATCGAGTCCTGCATCGGGCTGCCTGCCTGCTAGGCATTGGGCTCCCTGCTAGGCGGGGAGCCTGCTTCTCCCTCTGCCTCTGCCTCTCTCTCTGACTCTCATGAATAGATAAATAAAACATTAAAAAAAAACCCCACACATTTCTAAACTTTAAAAAAAGAAAGAAAAGGATATAGTGTGAGGAGGAGTCTGCTGACACCAACTCTTTTAGAGGTGTTCCCAAATTCCAGGGCAGTGTGTGGGGGGGGCTTTCTCCCCCCTCACACAACACCAAGCAATCCCTGCTCGTGCCCAAGAATTCAACTCAATTCCGACACTCTCTACCTAGAGGCAGCATCAGATTCCACACGCTCAGACAGCCCTCCGCCCCCCACTGCAGACATCAGTCTACATAAACCTTAGGCTGTGGTCTGGACCCATCCACTACAGATTGGAGTTTCCAACAACCTCCTCTGTGATGCTTTTAATTTGCTAGGGTGGCTCAGATAAACACTTACTTATGTTTATCCGTTCATGAAAGGATATGATAAAGAATATAAATCAACAGCCTGATGAAGAGATACATAGGCTGAGGTCTGGGGAAAAAGTGAGGAGCCTCTGTGCCACTCTCTCCCAGACCTCCATGTGCTCACCAGCCCAGAACTCTCCAGACCCCAGGCCTTTTGGGTTCTTCTTTTTTTTTTTTTTTCTGTAAGATTTTATTTATTTATTTGACAGAGAGAGAGAGATAGCGAGAGAGGGAACACAAGCAGGGGGAGTGGGAGAGGGAGAAGCAGGCTCCTCGCTGAGCAGGGAGCCCGATGCGGGACTCGATTCCGGGACTCCAGGATCATGACCTGAGCCAAAGGCAGTCACCTAATTAACTGAGCCACCCAGGTGCCCTGGGGAATTCTCTCTTGACCTTTCTCACCTCGCCCCACAAGACATCAACATCTATTTTCCTTAATAGACTTCTTTGATCAGGGTGTCTGGCTGGCTCAGTCCGGCGACTGTCGATCTCAGGGTTGTAGGTTTGAGCCCCACACTGGGTGTAGAGATTACCTAAAAAAAGGAAAATCTTAAAAAAGAAATAGACTTCTTTGATCAATTCCCCTGTCTGTTACCCCTCCCCTCCTCTGCCCCCACCCAAACCCTCAGCACCTACCTTGGGATTCTGCTTCCAAACCAGCTGGCCCCCCACCCAGCAAAAACCCCTTGGGTGCTCCCCACTGTGCTGAGCCCTCCCCACCCCACCAAGGTCATGACACCCATTCTGGGCCATTGTTCCCCCATAAACTGACCTTACCTGCTCCACCCAAGGGCCTTAGGACTATTTGTTCAAAAAGAAACAAAAAAGAAAGAAGAATGTTTGATCCTATTCCCCCATTTAAATGCATCAGTGTTTTCTTTTTATGGCTTCAGGATTATGAGTCACAGTTTAAAGGCTTTCTCCACACCCAGGTTAGAAAGGAACTTTCCAATGTTTGCTTCTCATTCTTACAGGTTTCATATTTTTCATTGAAATCTTTGAGCCATTTGGAGTCTATTCAGCAAATTATTTTTTCCATTCCTTCTTTCTGTTGGGTTGATGGGGTTTTCTTTGTTTCCATTTCTTTCTTTCTTTCTTCTTTATTTTAAGATTTATTTATTTATTTGAGAGAGAGGAGACAGCATGGGCAGGGAGAAGAGGGAGAGGCAAACTTTCTGCTGAGCAGGGAGCCTGATGCAGGGCTCGATTTCAGGACCCCGGGATCATGACCTGAGCTGAAGGCAGACGCTTAACTGACTGAGCCACCCAGGTGCTCCTGCCTTTCTTTTTTTTTTTTTTTTTAAGATTATTTATTTATTATTTGTCAGAGAGAGAAAGCACAAGCAGGGGAAGCAGCAGGCTTCCTGCTGAGCAAGGAGCCCCATGCGGGACTCAATCCCAGGATCCCAGGATCATGACCTGAGCGAAAGGTAGACAGTTTACTGACTCAGTCCAGGTCTCTCTCTTTTTTTTTTAAAGATTTTATTTAGTTATTTGAGAGAGAGAGAATGAGAGACAGAGAGCACGAGAGGGAAGAGGGTCAGAGGGAGAAGCAGATTCCCCGCTGAGCAGGGAGCCCGATATGGGACTCGATCCCGGGACTCCAGGATCATGACCTGAGCCGAAGGCAGTCGCTTAACCAACTGAGCCACCCAGGCGCCCCCAGTCCAGGTCTCTTGATACTCCTAACAAACCCTTTTCAACCACATTTGCATTTGTATGCTGACTTTGGAAAGCACCTAAGTGTGGGGGCTCGTTGTTTAACCTAACCAACCCTGTGGTTAGAGGGTTAAAACTTTCAATCCCTCCCCCTGACCACAGGGAAGGGGAGAGCAATTGGAGGTTGAATTCATGACCAATGGCCAGTTATTTAATCAGTCATGTCTGTGTAATGAAGTGACCATAAAACCCAAAAGGACGGGATTCAGGGAGCTCCCAGGTGGATGAGCTGCTGGAAATTTGGGGACTGTGGCACCGCTGGAGAAAACATGGAAGCTCCATGCCCTTATCCGGCTGTTCCTGAGTTATATCCTTTTATAATAAACCAGTGATCTAGTAACGAGCATTTTTCTGGGTTCTGTGAACCACTCTAGCAAATTAATCCAGTCCAGGGAAGGGATTGTGGGAACCTGTGATCTGTAGCTCATGGGTCAGAAGCTGGAATTGGAACTGATATTTGAAGTAGGGGGGCAGGGAGCAGGCTTGCAGGACCGAACCCTTACCCTGAAGGATCTGGGGTTCTCTTCATCGGGCATTGAGTTAAACTGCAGGACCCCCAGCTGCTGTTGGAGAATTGCTTGGTGGTGTTGGAAACCACATCGGAATTGGGGTCAGAATCATGGACCCAGAGGTTCATTATCAGTGGGAATGGGTAATAAACTGAGGTACATTCAATGGCAAACTATAACCACGCAAAACAGCATTAAGGGAAAGAAGTCCTGTTTTATTTTTCTCTCTCCTCTCATACCTGGCTGGTTGGGGTGTGATCTCATAATATCCGTCTGAACCGTTGGTCTGACCTTCAGAATGCATCAGAATCCCATCACTCTTTGCTCCTCCCACAGTTACCACCCCGGTCCTGCAGCCTCCCCCCCCCCCCCCCGCCTCTGCCCCCCAACGCACGAGTCCCCGGCTGAAAGTCCCGGCTTCCATCCTCTCCTCCCTCAGTCTGTTCCCCACACGGCCGCCAGATGGCGCCCGTTCCCCCTTACAGAAGGTCATGCTTTTCTGCTGGAAACTCTTCGGTGACTCCAGGCTCATTCCTAGAAAAGCCTCAGTGCCCGCAAGGCTTTGGAATATCTGGCCCCTTCCCTGTCTGCGCGCACACCTCACCGTCTCGCCGTGGTTCGTTGACTCTGTTCTGGCCACGCCTGCTTTACAGTTCCTGGAACACCGACGGCACCTTCGAGCCTCGGGGCCCTTGTACTGGCTGTTTGCACGGAATACTCTTCCCCCAGACACCCACGTGGCTCATCCCTCACCTGCTTCAGGTGGCTGCTCCAAATCCACCTGCCACGGGCAATTAAATGATATTAGGAAATAGTTGATTTCATTATGCGTGGCATTGTTGGAAGACACAAACTGGAGGGGGGAGGGCTGAAGATGTCTGAAATGAACTCTAAGAGGGTTCAGCAAGGGGCACCTCGGTGGCTCAGTCGGTTAAGGGTCCTGACTCTTGATTTCCGCTGGGATCATGCTCTCCGGGTCATGGGACCATCTATCCCCCAATCAGGCTCCCTCGGCCAAGAGTCAGCTTCCTCTGTCTCCTTCTCCTTCTGCCCCTCCCCCTCCCTCCACCTTGTGCTTGTGCCCATTTTGGGGACAGTGGCACCGCTGGAGAGAACATGGAAGCTCCGTGCCCTTTCCCCGTGCCTTATCTGGCCGTTCCTGGGTTATATTCTTTTATAATAAACCAGTGATCTAGTAAGGAACGTTTCTCTGGGTTCTCTGAACCCATCTAGCAAATCAATCCAACCCAAGGAAGGGACTGTGAGAACCACATTTACCAGTGTGTTACGTTTACTCTCACCCCCACCCGCACCCCGTTGGAATGTGAGAGCCAAGAGGGCAGCCCTGTCCTCTTTTTTTTTTTTTTTAAGATTTTATTTATTTACTTGAGTGAGAGAGAGAGAGAGAGAGCGGGGGAGAGGGGCAGAGGGAGAGGGAGAAGCAGATGCCCCGCTCAGCATGGACCCCAAGGTGGGACTTGATCCCAGGACCCAGGGATCATGACCTGAGCTGAAGGCAGATGCTTAACCGACTGAGCCACCCAGGCGCCCCTATTTTTTTCTAAATATTTATTTTATTCAAGGATTCCTGAATGGGGCAGCACCCCCATCTAGCAGGTAGGTAGGATTTCCAAGGAGGTGTGCAAAATGAAAGACTTTTACAGGCAGAGGGACTGGGGACAAAGATGTTATATTAGCAAAAAGTGGATTGCTTGTGGCAAGGGCCCCTTCCTTTAGGGGATGGCAGCGGGTCTACCAGGCAGGTGGCCTCATGAGGGCTGAGGAGGTGATTTCAGATGGTTTAAGATGCCATTCCTGAAAGAGGCTGAAACTGTACCTAGGTTTAGCTGGATGTCAAGTCTCTGGTGATGTGGGGCTTGGCTTTGCACAAGTGATTCCATGTTGGACCTTGTGTCTCTTTTTTAGCAGTTTTGTGTTTAGTTTTTAGCAGTCTAGTGGTAGCTCCATCCAGCTACCAGCCTTAGTGTGAGCAGGTAGCCATATGCGCAGTCATGGCGGCCGGACCCCAGCCTCCTTCCGGCAGTGACAGTTGGTCCGAGCCTTGTGGCAAATGGGAAGCTACCAGCCTCCTTTTCAGCTTTGAGGATGTGGCCCATTCTGGTCACTGAGGCGTGGGAGGTATGTCTTGGGAATCTCAGTGTTGAATGAAGACAGATGGGCATGATAAAAGAGCCTTTGCTGCTTCTCTGACGACAACAGAATCGCCCCCAGAAAGGGAAGAGCATCGCCAAGAAGCTGACCAACATCCGTGGATAGTTGAGCTGCTGATTTAACAGACCCTGGACGTATGTTCTTGCCTCTTTCTTCTTAACATTATTCTTCACGACTATTCAGGTCATGAAAGATCAGAAAAGATGCAGGAGGGGCGCCTGTGGGCTCAGTAGGTTAGGCATTGGACTCTTGATTTCGGCTCAGGTCCCGATCTCAGGGTCGTGGGATCGAGCCCCGTGTCGGGCTCCAGGCTCAGCGAGGAGTCCGCTCGAGATTCTCGCTCTCCCTCTGCCCCTCCCCCACTGCTCTCACATGCTCTCTCTCTCAAATAAATAAATAAATCTTTTAAAAAGAAAGAAAGAAGGGCGCCTGGGTGGCTCAGTTGGTTAAGCGACTGCCTTCGGCTGAGGTCATGATCCTGGAGTCCCGGGATCGAGTCCCGCATCGGGCTCCCTGCTCGGCAGGGAGTCTGCTTCTCCCTCTGACCCTCCCCCTTCTCATGTGCTTTCTCTCTCATTCTCTCTCTCTCAAATAAATAAATAAAATCTTTAAAAAAAAAAAAGAAAGAAAGAAAAGCTGGAGGACCTTCCCCACATAGGAGGAGGGTAAGAAGCCATGACAAGTATGGAAACATGGGATCCCAGATTAGATCTAGATCACTGGGTGATTGTAACAGGATATAACCCAGGAACAGCCAGATGATGAGACGCAGAGGACCAGGCCTGGGGAAGGGTGCAGAGCTTCCAAGGCCTCTTCAGGTGCACCACCCTCCCCCCAAAATAAGTTCTTTTGAGAGATAAGCTGCAACAGGAGCAGATCTGTTGCTTATTTTATTATTTAACCAAGTCTCACATCAGCTTGCTAAGTGCCAAACATTGCTCGTGGACTTTTTAGTCCTGAGACCTCTTGACCCTCCTCCACGAGAACCCCCTCCCAAGGAGCCTTAGTTAATGTGGGTCACACCCATCAATGTTTATAGAATTAGAAATCACAACAATTAACCAAATATGTATTCATTAAGTCATTTAAAAAATAACAATACTTAACTAATGATGTGTTATGTTTACCTCGCTAGGCCTCAGGATCTTCAGGAGGGCCTCTGGCTTTGTTTACCTCATAATAATGGCTGTTTACCTGTCCTTTCCCTTCAGATGCAAATCTAAGATAAAAATCTGGCCTACCCTTTTGGGGCCCAGTTACTGGCCAGCAATTCAATTGGCTACTAGAGTCAGGGACTCTCCTTGGCTGTAATCAGCTCTGGCCATCCGGAAAGACAAAGAAGCAAAGAATCTTTTGACTGCAAGTTACAAAACAAAACAAAACAAAAACCCTACAAAATACAAAAAAACCCAGGGCGCCTGGGTGGCTCAGTTGGTTAAGCGACTGCCTTCGGCTCAGGTCATGATCCTGGAGTCCTGGGATCGAGTCCCGCATCGGGCTCCCTGCTCGGCAGGGAGTCTGCTTCTCTCTCTGACCCTCCCCCCTCTCGTGTGCTCTCTCTCTCTCAAATAAATAAAATCTTTAAAAAAAGAAAAAAAAAAAACCCAGAAGCAAATCACAACCTGACAAAAGTGGTTTAAACCAGTTTTTGTTTAATTTTGACTTCTTTTAAAGCAAAACTAGAAATCAGTTTTTTTTTTTAGATTTATTTATTTATTTGTCAGAGAGAGAGGGAGAGAGGGCGCGAACAGGGGGAGCGGCAGACAGAGGGAGCAAGGACCCAGGGATCATGACCTGGGCCTAAGGCAGACGCTTAACCGCTTAACCGACCGAGCCACCCAGGCGCCCCTAGAAATCAGGTTTAATGGTTGGAGGACCTGAGGTCTCTGTGTTCGGCGGTCAGTGCGTGGACAATGGCCCTCTTGGGCGTGAAGTGGCTACAGCCACTCCAAGCATCACACTTCCAGATGATCACAGCCAAAGGGAGGGAAGAAAAGAAAAGGTTGTCTTTCAGGATTTCTTTTATCAAGGGAAGAAAGTTTTCCCAGAGGCCTCCAGGCAAATTTCCCCATTATGTGCATGACCTCCTCTTCAGCAATCATTGACAAAAGGAAATGAGAGGGTTGACAATGGTTATCAACAAATCAGAATTTTGTCCCACGGCTGATAACTGCGGGACAGGCCACAGACTGTGTCTGCCCTAGTCCCACATGGGTCTCCCTCCAGCAAAGGGGGTCAGAGATAAAGTGACAAGCCCAAGGTCACACACCAAGCAGATAACGGAGGCACATTTGTATACAGACCTGCAACCAAATGCATATGCCTGTGATGTGGGATGCAAAGGCAAAAGAAAAATTTCTTTACCACTTACAGCCCATTGACAAGTCCTTGAAACAGGAAAAGTGGCATTCCTCTAGGGACTCAGCTGCCTCGATGTTAATGATGTTAATACTTTGCTAAGGGCAAAAGGCAATCTTAGCTTAATATTATCCATCCCGACCCCCCAGGATCCTGTGAGTCTACTTTAACATATAAAAATGTCTTTGGAAACTTCCCTTATCTCTACCCGCCGCTCCCCCAAGATGTATGTAGGCATACATACAGTCGAGCATATGACCCACTGATACACATCTGAAGGGTCTCATGACTGAGGTTTTATTAGACAGTAATAGATGACCTTCTCCTAACAATAGCTAGCCCCCTCAAGGTCCTGGAAACCTTGTTTCCAAAAATTCCTTAGAGACTTAACGCTATCCCCAACCCCCTCCCAACTTGAAAGTATATAATGGGTCACTCCTCAGGACCCCCATGCGGATCCTTCTGCCCACGGGTCCTGTCCCGCTACTGTAATAAAATCAGCTTTTCCGCCTTCCCTTCTGGCCGCCTGCTGTGCCAGCCACGCACTCCCCTGTGCCCCTGTAGCATTGCCTCACAAAATCGAGGAAATCAAGGACTTTTTGCTCACGGCCACGCGAAAGGACACCAAATCCGTCAAGATCAAGAAAAATAAGGATAATGTGAGATTTAAAGTTCGGTGCAGCAGATACCTTTACACCTTGGTCATCACGGACAAAGGAGAAGGCAGAGAAACTGAAGCAGTCCCTGCCCCAGGTTTGGCAGTGAAGGAGCTGAAGTGAACCTGGCCCACTGATTTGAACTGTATTAAAGTTTTAAAAATTCTTAAAAAAGAAAAATCAGCTTTTTGCACCAAAGATGTCTCAAGAATTCTTCCTTGGTCATCAGCTCCGAACCCCGACATTTTCCTACATCAGCCTGGTCCTAATGTCTGGCTCTCTCTATACCTACACATAACAATTATTAAAGTATGTGTGTGAAAGGTTGTGTCCAAGATTGGGACACAAGGCATGACACAGGATGGGAACGGGCACTAGGTGTTATAGACTTCTGATGTTCACCCCCTCCAAGGGTAGAGCATCTTGCCTCGCTCCCCACCCACCAGGGCCCACTATCAGCAGTATTGGCCATGGGTGCTGGGAAGCCCTTGGAAGACAGTGAGCAGAGGCAGCTCTGGGGGTACAAAGACCCTTTGGGGGCCAGACTGGATGCAGAGAGCGGGCTAGGCAGGGCAAGGGTCCAGGCAGGAGAAGACAAGAACTGAGCTGAAGCAGGGCGGAGAGGACACAGAGGAGGAGACAGGCAGGGCAGAGCTGGGGACAGGACAGGGCTTGAGTCTGACGGGCTTTGGGGGGAAAGGCGTTGCAGTGCCGAGGGATCTGGCTTAGTGACTGGATGTACAAGTGGGGCTGTCCCAAAGATGGGGAAGTAGAGGAGGGCAAGAGGCTAAACTCAGTGTATGAGGAGGTGGAAAAATCTCCCATGTCAGAAAACGCCAGGTCACTGGGGGCTAGGATTGCTGGGTCTTCGAGAATGAAAAGGGCCCAGGACAGGGATTCTTGGCGAAGACCCTAGAGTCCCTGAGCTGGATCATTGGAGATGACAGCTAATGGCTTGTTCTTTGGCATTTATTTCAAAATTGCAGCGAGAGAAAAAAAAAAATCAACAGCAGCACGGGGAGATCCGGCCTGAGAACGGAGAGATGCGGAGTCAGGGCCAAAGTGTATCTTTGACCCCACAACACGGAGCAGCGGGGAGCCCAGATCCCCCAAGGTCTTAAGAGGCGGGGCTGGGGGCCCGGACGCCTGGGTCCGGCCCTTATGGCTTTGGGAGTGTAGAGACCACGTGGGGGCGCCAGAGACCCAGGCGTCCCGGCAGCCCCCGGCCTTTTATTTCATATTGCACTTCAGGTGAGTCATAGGTAGGGAGGCGAGGGTCCGGCGAGGACTAGATGCCGTGGATGGGTGGGTCCGAGGAGAGGGAGGGCCAAGTCTTTAGCGTCACACTGGGAGCATCCACTCGTGAGGTCCTGCTCCGTACTGCGGGACAACAGAGCCGAGGTGTGAGAGGAAAGCCACACTGCAACTCCCAGCAAGCCCGGGGGCGCCGCAGGCTAACTGGTTGTGGATTTGCGCCCCAGGTCCTCATGGGAAATGTAGTCCACTTCCCGGAAGCCGGCCAATAACCGCAGGGGAACCGTGGCCGAGTGGGCGCAGAGGCTGAAGGGAGATGGAGTTCTGCAAAGAGTCACTGGAGGGCCTGGAAGGCTTTTTGGTGGTGGTGGTGGTGATGGTGGTGGCGGGGGGATCGTTTTTGGCTGAGATGGCCCGGAGAATGGGGAGAGGTGTTGTTCTAGGTCCTGGTGCACCGCACCTGACTTTAGAGAAGCTCACAGGAAAGGCAGTTCTAGGTCGAGTGCCGGGAAAGGAGCCCAGAGGTTCTCAGGAAAGAGAACTCGGCCGAGATGAATGGAAACACCTCCAGGAGCTTATGAGAGGAAATATTCCTGGGCCACACAGGGGGACCAGGATCCCGGGGCTTGTGGAAGATTTCTCAGGCCAAAGGGAGAGCCCGGGGCGCCAGGGGCTCCGCGTAGGGCTTCTGGCCCCAAGTCCCACGGGCCCCTGGGAAGGGGTCCCCACTGCAAGGACACGCAGGAGCCACAGAGGGGTAGGGAAGGGGCTTCCTCGTCAGCGTGTAGAGGCTCCCAGGAAAGGAGAGTGACTCAGTCTGGGGCCCAAAGGCCCACGGCAAGGGCCATGATTGGCTCTTGGGGCTGCAGGGCAGGAGGGCTCCCAGTCCAGGGGCTCCTGGGACGTGAACTTCCCCGGGGGAACAAACATCCAGCCCACTTCCCGGCCAGTGCACCTCACCTGGATCGCCTTCAGCTCCTTCAGGAAGCGGAGGATAAGCTCAGGCCCGTTTTCCATGGTGGGAATGTGCAAGTGCTGGAGAAGACAGTGCCGTGAGGACCAGGAACCCCCTTCTTCCCTCCCGTCTCCAATGGCAGCCCCATCTCACCTTGCCTTGGTATAGGATTTGGTGTACAGGGCAGACCTGGCAAGCGGTGCCTGAGCCGAAGACTTCCCGGACCCGCCCCTCCTCCAGCGCCCGCAACAACTCCTTCATGGTGATCTTCCGCTCCGCTACCCGGAACTCACCCTGCCGAGCGATACACGTGTGAGCCCGCAGTGGCCCTCGCAGCACAGCCCTGCCTCTCCCTCCCTGAGAATGGGGACAGACACCCGAGGAGACAGCCACCCAGAGAGAAGGGGCAGAGACGTGCTAGTGTGCCCCAGTCCCCCACCCAGAGCCCCCTGAGGTTCTGGCCCCCCCACATAGCAGTACCCCATCACTCCAGCCACCCACAGTCACGGCGCCCTCACCCAGGTCCTAGCCAGGTCCAGCAGGCTCTGTCTGACCACTCCAGGCAGGATGACACCGTCCAGCGAGGGGGTCACCAGTTCCAGCACTGGGGCAAGTATAAGGGCTGGGGGGTTACCTCACGCCCTCAGGCACACCCTCCCATCTTCTTCCGAAGCCACCCCAAGCCCCCCCCCCATCTGTGAAGCCCGCAGTTGGCTAGGACTTAGGATAGACCCACTTCCCCAAGGGGGCAGGGGGGGTGGGTGTCATGGGAGGGCTCACCCCCGTCCTCGTGGGTCCAGTAGATGAAGATGTTCATGGTGCCCACCTCGGTGAGCTGCTGGTCAGGCCCATAGAGCCAGAGCACCTGCTCACAGCCCCTCTTTTTCGCCTCCTGCTGCACCAACACGGTGGGCCCGTAATTTCTGGCAGAGAGACAAGCATGGTTGACCAGCAAACCGGCTCCTTCCTCAGACTCACCTGAGGGCTCACTGTCTCCTCGGTGAACAATGCCCCAGCCGTTGCCATTGCCATTGCCATCACAGTGCCGGCTGCTCACTAGCCTGGGGCTCCCACTAGCCTGGGGGCCCCTGGAAGGCAGGGCCTGGACCTGATTCTTCTGCATCCCCAGCTTCGCCTGGCCCAGGGCCTGGCCCTCGGGACACCTCACAAGGTAAGTGTGTGGAAGGGACCCGAATGAAGCTCCCAGCTGGGGTCACACTTGCTATCCCAACACACCGTCACGCCACCTTCTGCCCGGATCACCTCGGCGGGGGGATCCCTCCCTGCCCTGCTCAGCCGAGGTCCCTGGCGACAGATTAACACAGGAAGCCAACACAGAGCATGGTCATCACTGGAGGCCCAGGGGACTATGAGAGCTGCGCATGGGGGTGGGGAGGGGGGGCGCTGGCCGAGCCTGGGCATTCAGGGGAGGCTACCTGGGGGAGAGACCAATGAGCTAAGGATAAACTTCATTTCTGGAGGCTTCTCAGGAGGCCAATCCGGGTTTCTCCACTGACTTTCTCCTTACCCCTTCCAAATTCTGAGCCGATGTGTCCATAGTGCTTAGCACACACCCTCTCTCCTTAAGCACCCCGCCCCCAACAGTGCCAACAACATCCCATCCCCACAGGCAAGCAGAGCTGTTCCCAGTCATGTGAAACGAGACGGGAAGGACAACTGACATCTGAAGACACGAATCCACACCCAAAGCACGACAGCCAGTGTCTCGGACATCCAGCGTCCCGGACATGTAGGGTTGGGGGAGGGACTGCTGGAGAGACTACTTACCCCCCCAGCTTGTAGTCACCAACCCCACCCATCCAGGCCCGGATGAAGGCTGGGTCAGCCAGGAGGGAGACGGGGTCCACGGCGTCTCCAGGGAAGTATGCACCCACGGGGCAGAGAATGACAAACAGAAGTGCTTGCGAGGAATGGGAGACGCCTAGTGAGGGCTGCGGGGGCAGAAGGGGGCATCAGGGACCCAGGAGTCCAGGCCCCTAGCCCCTCCCCCTCCCCCGGAGTCCCCACGCCCACCCTGACCTCCACCCACCCCCCACCCCACCCCCCGCCCCGAGTCAGGGAGTCAGGCCCACCTCATTCCCGATGAGCACAGGCCGGACGTAGAGGCTGGTGTTGTTGCCCTCAGGGACCCAGTCTTTGTCCACTTCCACCAGCCGGCGGATACACTCGAGCAACTCGACCTTGTCAAAACTCTGGGCAGGATTCCCACGAGTCAGCCGCCCGCCTCCCTGCTCCCCGCCCCCCCCCGGGGGCCACCCAGGGCCCCTCACCGGCAGGCAGAGGCGCAGGGCTGAGCGCAGCATCCGGTCCATGTTGAGCCAGGGTCGGAAGAGGCGCACGCGCTGGTCGCTGCCTTTGAACGCCTTCATGCCCTCGAAGAGCTGCGGGGACAGGTGGGTGGGTCACTGAGCTCAGAGACCACCGTGGGGAAGCCGCGAGACACATCGGGAGATCCCAACACAGCGCCTGATACACAAGGATTCAGACACAGATGCAGAGACAGAGCCGAGAGACCAACACACTGAGCACAGAGAGGAAGGGAAGGGGGACGAGAGAGACGGACAGAGAGAGCCCAGAAACAGCCGGACACCCACAGCCGGGGGTGCCGAGAGATCGCCCTGCTTAAACCCCTTCCATGTTACTGGTCCGATTTCTCAGGAACAGTGATGGCATGCAAGTTCTGTTTTTAAAGACTCCTTGCGGGTGCCTGGGTGGCTCAGTTCGTTAAGCGACTGCCTTCGGCTCAGGTCATGATCCTGGAGTCCCGGGATCGAGTCCCGCATCGGGCTCCCCGCTCAGCAGGGAGTCTGCTCCTCCCTCTGACCCTCTCTCCTCTCATGCTCTCTCTCTATCTCATTCTCTCTCTCTCAAATAAATAAATAAATAAAATCTTTAAAAAAAAAAAATAAAGACTCCTTGCGTTCTTGAGAAGCACTGAACTCGCTGTGCATGAAATACTGCATAGCCCAGGATTTGCTTCAAAATCTTACAGGAAGGGGGCACGAAAATGGGAGTCCAAACGAAACGAGAGGGTGACCCACAGGTGCTAGCTGATGAAGCAGAGTGGTCAGCGGGGGGCTTATATATTATTCTATTTTTATGTTTGAAATTTCCCATAATAAAAACTTTAAAAAAAAATCTCTACACCCTACGTGGGGCTCCAGCTGATGACCCTGAGATCAAGAGTCACGTGCTCGACTGCCTGAGCCAGCCAGGCGCCCCCAAAACATTTGTTAAAGTACAAAAAAAACAACAAAAAAACCAACACAAAGTTGATCCGCACCCCCAGCTGGTTGTTGACCTTGGCCTTCGAGGCCTCACAGGATCTGGCCCCTCTTATCTCAGCCTGCTGAGGCTGACACTGCAAACCGGTTACTAGGGATAAAATATGTTCATCCAAATTCTTGTCACCACTGAAGCTTCCTCAGGAAGACTCTGCTCTCAGTCAGAGCTTTAAGTCATAACCTGGATGCCTCCTGGATATCTTCCTTAAAGGCCCCTCACCAAGTCCTGCAAAGCCAGTCTCCTGCTGGGTCCCCAACAGGGGGACAGCCCCCTGGCCTACCTGGTCACCTGGCCAAACCTCTGGGCACCACATTCGGGCCCTCCCTTCCCTGCTCTTGTCCAGCCTCCGGCCCCAGCTCAGGCCTCCTGGCCTCCAGCTCATCTTCTATCCGGCCTGAGGGGGTCTCACTACACCCAGAGCTGACCCTGCTCCGTGCCTGCTCAGAGCGCTCCAGGCTCCCAGTGCCCTTGACAAGCTGCCAGCCCCTCAGCCCCTCTGCGGCCCTGATGGACATCCTCAGCCTCCTCTGCCATGTTCCAACCCCCCAATTCCCCCGATACGCCGGGCTCTCCTTTGTCCCGTGGTTGCTCCCTCTCCTGCTAACACCCTAAGCTTCCTCTGCCAGACGGGACCCTACTTCCTTTCAAGTTAGAGGTTGGATTGGTGCCTCTCCTGGCTCCTAGAACACCTCAGGTGCCTCCTTCAGAGAATGCCTCCTACAGACTGCACGGGGCTATAACCAAAACGTGGCGTTTTCGAGTAGAAGAACGGGGTCTGTTCTTCTTGGGGACCCCGGCATCAGCCAGCATGGGGCCTGGAACACGAGACCTCAGAGAACACATCTTGAGCAAGAAGAAACAGACAAAAAGCAAGCCCTGGGCGGTGGACCCCGCAAGCGACAGGGCAAGAGGGAAGCGATGCAGAGAGATGGGGAGAGAGGTCGGCGGCCATGCCTGCATCGAGTAGTGGAGGCCAGAGCAGGCGGGGTGCAGCGTGAGGTTCTGGAAGGGCTGGATACGGGGCTGGCTCCAGCCCTTCTCCTCTTTCCATTCCACCATCAGCATGTGGTCAGTGAATATCTTCCCAAACACCAGGGGCTTGCTGGGGTCTGGCTTCTGATGAGGCTCCCGCGTCAGTTCCAGCTGCAGGTCTGCAGCCTGAGAAAAGACAGGGGACCCGGGTATCCTGAAATCTGGTCGCAACCTCAAACTGAAAAACTACAACTCCCATGAGCCTCTGGGGCTAAGACCCAAAGAGAAGAGAGAACTGTAGCCCCAGAGGCTTGTGGGACATGCAGTATCAAATCTCTCCCACAGCCTTATGGCGGACTATTAGGACCCCATTGCCAACCACCTCCACCTTTGGACCCTGGACCCTTTTGGAGATGCCCAAATCCAGCTGCCAGCCCCTTCCTCAAACCTAAGAGTCCTGGTCCCCAGCTCCCTCCTCCCTCAGGCCCAGAAGTCCTGGCCCCAGCCCCTCTTTGAGATCCCAAAGTACATTCCCCTCCATTCACCTTGAAGTTGGATGAGGCATATCTTCTGGGGCCACACAGAAGCCAAGAGGCAGGGAGGAGTTTTCGGGCCCAAATCTGGGGGTGGGGACAGAAGTAAGAAAGGTGGTGAGGCCAGGAAAAGTAGAGAGAGCAGGGACCCTCGTGCCTGCTTTGCCACTACGCACTTGGAACGTCCCTCTGGCCTGATCTGTCCCAGGCCCAGTGCATTCTAGACGGACCATGTGGCCCTGGACAAGTCGGCTCCCCTGTCAGGCAGCACCTAGTGTGAGAGAATCCTGAAGGAGGCCAAGTCCCCTCCCTGTCCTCACAAGGACAATCCCTAGAAAGGGCTGAATCAGCTCCTATCCCCTCCATGCCAGGGCAAAGTCAAACACAGGCACCTCCCACCTCTGGGAACTTTGGCCCCAGCCCTGAGCTCAGCTCAGACAGAAGACTGCGAGGCAAAGTGCACAGGTAAGTGAAGGCCTCCCTGGGGGACCCAAATCCTGATAAGAATTAGAAAAGTGAGGGGCGCCTGGGTGGCTCAGTCGTTAAGCATCTGCCTTCGGCTCAGGTCATGATCCCAGGGTCCTGGGATCGAGCCCCGCAT